TAGTACCTTAAAACAAAGAACATTGACAATCTCACAGTTCCTATGGATTTCATGTTTAAGCACAGCTTAATTGGGTCTTCTGCTTTAGGATCTCACAAGTCAATAATCAATGTGTCTGCAAGGGCTGTGGTTTCATTTGAGGCTATAGTTTTCCTTCTAGGCTCAACTGGTTGTTGGTGATGTCTCGTCATTGCAATTTTAAGACTGAGGGAGTTGGGTCCCAGAGTCAGTCCACGGTTCCTCATCATGTGGGCTTCCCATAACATGTTTGTTTCCTTCATCAACCCAGTTAAAAGTGTAAGACACTGCAGAGAGTCTACTAGAAGGATAGAGACTTACAGACTTATATAATGTCAGCGTAGTCATGAAAGTGATGTTCAATCACTTCTGCTGTACACACAGTTAGGGTGTGTTATGGGTTATAGGGTGGAAAAATAGGGTGCTGACGATTGTAAGTGCTACAATTCTGTTTACCATAGAGCTGTAGGATTCAACTTTTAATACCTTTTTTAAAAAATATAAGAAAACAAGGGAGTAGAATATCCAAGTACTTATAAGCACTCCTCATCCAGATCCCATTTTTTCCTGATTCTAAGACATTGTCATAATTACTGCACTTAGTCTAATGAATTATTTAACCAGGGTGAGCACCAAGTTCCAACAATGTGAAATGATGAAGATATTAACTACTTCATGAGCCTATAATGAGAATTAGATATGATCCATTTTATGTGTGGCCTGAGTAGAACTCATCAAACACTAATAATTATTATAATTACTATGATTTTTAAACGTTCTTTGTTACCTCTGTATGGAGACGTCTTTAAGTTCACATGGTTTTCCTATCCTATATCAGACATCAAACTTGAGTTATCATTACCATGTGATCTTTCATTGGAGAGCCTGGCTCTCTTTGGCCACATAAGAAAATAAATTGGAGCTTTCTCTCTTTGATCTCCACTCCCAGATTTTTAAAATGTAGGAATCCCATCCAAGACAAAGAAAAATGTGGCCTGATGAAAAATTTATAGAATATTTCTTCAGTGATTTTATCTCTATATTCTACTTGTTAGAAATGCATTAGCTGCAAAACTACCTTGAGAATCAAGTCTAAGAAAAAACAGAAATAAAATCCTCTGTCTTTCAAAGCTACCAAATACATTTCAGTTTTTGATGGAGTATGAGTAACAATAAAGCTCTTAGCTAAATGCTGGTATATAGGTCAAAAAATAGTATTTTCTTTAAATTTAAAGTCCTTAATTCTTAAGAAATACCTTCCAAAGTCCATTTTGTACTCATTTAGCCACCTATTCAAACTATTAAAATTGGTTAATTTTGTAGAGAAATATTCACTTAACCTTAAGTGTTCAGAACCTACTATATGAAATGTACTTTGTTGAAGCCACAAGGTTAAAAAAACCCTAAGTCATGTTTTCTGACTCTAAGACACTCAGGTTTAAATAGTGAAAACATTGAATGTATATAATAACTCTAGTATAGGGACCAACAGTTGGCGTAATGGCTATGTTGCTGGACTCCCATGTAGTCAACTGTGGTTTGAGTCCTGGACCCGGTGGCTTAAACTCATGCCGGACGCGTGTGTGCACATGCCCAAGATCCTGAAGGGAGAATGGAGGAGAAGGGATTGCGGCAAGGCCATACCCCCTGAAGGGTGATTTCTCACTTTCTGTCTCTCTGTCTCTCTGTCTTTCTGGCAAGTGCACGCACCCTATAGTGAAAACCTCTTAAAAAAAAAAGAAAAAGTAACTCTAGTATAAAATAGATGAGATTAATGCCATAAAACATACTGCAGATAAAATGCTATTGGGAGTCAAAGAGAGAGGTAAGATTACATATGGTCAGTAAATTTCACTAAAAAAATGAAACTGGTATCTAAGGTATACAATAAAGAATGGGTAAATTCTAGCATGTGGTAATGAAGATGATCATTACATAAAACAGAGGGGACTTTAAACTAATTCTCAGAGTTGAGGCAGGAGAGTTGATATAAGAAGACCAGCAAGTAGTTCAATTCGAGTAGAACTTAGGCTGTGAGAATAAGAATCAGAAAATATTAAAAAGATGAGAATGGGGTCAGCAGGGTTGACATGATGATTAAGGTGCTGGATTCCCACATGGGAATCAACCGTTCAAATCCAGGACCTTCAGAGCACATGCACATGCATGCCTACAATCCTAAGAGAAGGGATTGCAGCATGGCCATCCTACCTCGGCGAGGATTTCTCAGTTTCCTTCTCTCTATATATCTTTCTGTCTCTCTTCAGAGAGTATATACACCCTATGGCAAATAAATAAATAAAAACAGGAAGGAGAGCAATATATTTTATAAGGCATCTATTTCCAGGATAAGGTACTGAGACTTTAATCTATAAAAGAGGAATTCATTTGCACTTTCATTGTTGTTTGATGTTAGCATGTCTGATGGAATTAATGTCTGCATTAAGGAAGATAAATCTGTCAGAAAGAATAGGAATGGATTGGATTTAATGTTAAAAAAAAATTAAAAAGCCATGAACAACAAAAACCTTGTAACAGCTTGTCTGAGAGCTAGATGACCTGAAATAATAAAATATCAGTGACACTAGCAAAAGTGATTTTAGTATTATCAAAGAAGTAGAATAAAGGAAATAAAGAAGGAGAAATAAATTCAAAAATTATTTTCTTCATGAAACCTGTGTGGCTAGCAGGTAGGTGAAGATCTGAAATAGTGAGTAAGGATAATTAACCGAGTTCAGTTTGTTTTGCAATTTTCCAGACAGATGTGGATGTGAATTTTGTATAGCACCGGTATAGTTTGAGTTATGTATCATACACAGCACTAAAGGCGTCTCAGGGGAGAATGGGGGCATTAGTCACACAAAAGGAGGCTCTGAAGTTGAGAGTGTATGAGAGTGAATGAGGTTGAACATGATCACCATGGGAGTAATGGTAAACACAGACAAAAAAAAAAAAAGACAAGGAAAAAAGCTTGAAAAATTCCTACATTTAAGAAGTGGAAGAATATAGTAATAAAATAAAAGAAGAAAAATATATACATAAGAAGAAAACCAGAATTAGGTATGTCCAGGGAGCATAGGCATTAACAAAGACCTGAGAGTTATTCTTTAAGTTTCTCTGTTTCTTTACTCTTTTAGAAAGAAAGAGAAAGAGAGAGTGCTCCCCCTAACAGTGCCTTGACTCAGCAATCCACTCCCAATGTTTAGCCAGCCCTGGATCCTGGGCAGGTGTGTGCTTGGTGTACTCAGGGAGGCATATGGACTTACCACAAGATCCTTCCCATGTGGGACTGTCTCACAGAACTTTGTGTTTTACCACTGTGCCATCATCATGCTCCCTGAATACAGTTACTTGTATATAAAAGGCTAAAAAGAGTTATTTTTGTTTGTTAATTTCTATTTTATTTCACAACAAATTCTATTGGTGTACAAAAGAACTTCATAATGTAACAAACCATAAATGGACTTACATGAAAATATATTTAGGCTATCTGCTTTGGAATGGCCGAATGTCCTGTAGAGATATATCATTTTCTTAATTCGTATATATATATATATATATATATATATATATATATATATATATATATATATATATATATATATATATATATATATATATATATATATATATATATAAATCTGTGTGTGTGCATATATATGAAAATGATCTTTTAAGTGTAGATGAATATATATATATATATATATTACTTAAAGTTTCTTGAGTATACTAAGTCTCTTTTCTATATGCATGTTCATATCATCAGTACATACAGATACATTTAATTCTACCCCCTAGTATTTATATTTTCTCATCCTTGCATGAATTAGTATCTTCTAAACAATTTTGAATAGTAATGAAGATAGTAACTAATCAGCCTTTTTTCTGTTTTGAAAGAGAACAGTCTAGAAAGTCATCATTAAGAAAAAAGCTTGTAGGGACCAGCTGATGGTGTAATGGTTAGATCGCTGGACTCCCACATAGTCCCCCATGGTTCAAATCCTGGACCCTGTAGCTTAAAATTCATACTTGGCGAGTGTGTGTGCATTCATAAGATCCTGGGAGGAGACTGAAGGAGAAGGGATTGCGGTGTGGCCATCCCCCCGGGGGTGATTTCTTGCTTTCTGTCTCTCTGTCTGTCTCTATCTGGCAAATGCACACACCTTATAGCAAAAATCTTTCTTAAAGAAAAAAGGTTGTAAAAACATTTCTGTGAAAGTGTTTACTATACTTTAGCTAATTTTTTTTCTATTAATAGATTTATTCTATTGGATATTATTTAGGCTATCTAAATATTAACAATCCTTTTTAGGGGAAATCTCTTGATGTTACTGTATAAAATAATATGGTGAGATGAAAATTTGAACAGTTTGTACAGTCATGTCCCCCTCACTCTTGATATTATTTCATATCTCCCTATTTAAGCAGGTGTTGGGCTGTTCTATGATACTGCCTCAAAGAAACGAAGAGGAAGCAGAATGCAGAAATCAATGAAGTCAATGCCATGTTCTTGGGTTTCAAAAGTCCAAAACTTAAAGGACCTGGGGCATAAACAGATTTTGAAAAATAGATGAAGGTGGAAGCTACCTCACTTCCATGTTAAACAAAACCTCTCAGGAATAAAGGAAGTCAGAAACATGAGAGGAGACTTAATTATGTCCCTGTGCCCAGACTTATTTCCGTCTCTGAGCTACTTTATATATCTATGTAAAGAGGGACATGAGATTGAAGGCCAATAGGACATTCAAAGTTTGATTATGACAGAGCAGAGACCTGCCTGTACCCTTCATTGTCCAAACATCGGAAGTCCAGATTTCCTCTTTGTGGAGCCTCAGGAATACATATGGGCAGTTTGTGATGCGAAATGGCCCCAGACATCCATACCACCTAGTGTTGCACCCTTGTATAACCTGTCCCCTCAAATGTGGCCAGGACTTTGTCACTTTCTCCTATCAGATGAAATATGGTGAAAGGAAGAGGATGTGCTTTTTGAGACCATTTTCATTTTGACAGTATTCTCCTTCCTCTTTCTTGGGGCCCCCTTCTGGAGGAAGCAAGCTGCTATTGTGGTGAATGGCCCTGTGGAGAATCAGACTTGACAAGGAGCAGGTCCTGGGCCAACAGTGGATGAGGATGTGAGATCTGACAACAGGTAAGATGGCTGGAAACCACTGCTGCCCTGGGTGACACCTCACTTGTAGCCTTATGAGAGACCCTGACCCTGAGAAACAGCTAAATCTGGATTCCTGACCCAATGGTGACATATGTTTGTCAATTTAGTCCACTAAATTTTGAGTTGCTTTTTTATGAAGCAATAGAAACTTAGTTTTCATTATGTAGAGTATTTATTCAGGTGGATTTGAGACTGGAACTCATCCCAATACAGAGATAGTAGACTATCTCTTTACCTGTGAATAGCCCTGAGGAAGAACATGGTCTGGAAAGCTGCAAAAAGTTGCATTTAGACTGATGTGAAAAAACAAACAAATGTTTTCTGGACACTTGAGGAGGAAATGACATTTTCAGAAAGGAAATTGAAACTTCAAAGGCTATGCAGTAGGCAAAAATAAATAAATAAATAAAAGTACCAGTAAGTTATTTTGATAGAGAACGAGCCTAAGGTGTAAGTAATGCTGCAATGAATATGGATGTGTAAGTGTTTTTCTGACCAAGTATTTCCTATCCTTCGGGTAGATACCCAAAAGTGAAATGACAGGGTCATATGATAGATCTATTTGTAGATTTTTTTGAGGAAACTCCATATTGTTCTTTACAGTGACTGTACTAATTTACATTCCTACCAACAATGTAGGAGAATTCCCTTTTCACCACAGCCTCGCCAGCATTCTGACTAGGGCTAAGTGGTATCTCATTGTAGTTTTCATTTGTGTTCGCTTAGAAGAGAGGTTGAGCATGTTTTCTTTCTTTTTAAAAAATATTTTATTCATTATTATTTTCTAGTTTGACCAGAGAGAGAGACATACACAGAGAGAAAGAAAGTGAGAAAACAAGCTGCGAAGTCCCAGACTCAAACCAAAGACTGCCATCTAGGAGTCTGGTTCCTAACCACTGCACCACCTGCCAGCCCCTTGAGCATGTTTTCATATGCTTTTTAGCAATTCGTATGTCTTCCTTGGAGAGTTGTCTGTTTAGCTTATAGTAGCACTTAATATTATTCTAAGTGTTTAAGAAAGCACTTTCTTTTAAGAAAGACTCTCAAACCAGTATTTTCCAGACCCATTGCTGAGAAGACAATATATGGAAATTGTCTCAATAGATCTGGTAATGAAACAAGACCCTCTTCTTAGTATCAGTTCTTTTTTTTTTTTTTTTTTTTT